GTCTGAAATCCTCTTTTGATGTATGGGCCAAAATGTCACGTTTATTTCTCCTTTATTTTAATTACAAATATCTCATACCTCTAATATACAATTCCAGTTTAGAAGAGACATTTAAACAAATACAAATATTTATTGTCTTACCTTGAGAACTAAAATCTCCAAAAGCCAACAAAGAAAATGTTTAAAAATCATATTTTATCTGGATAATATCAATTAATTAAATTGATTACTGGTTAATTTTTTAATATTTTAACTCCAGTGTAGTTACCATACTATGTTATATTAGTTTCACGTGTACAATATAATGATTCAATAGTTCCATACATTACTCAGTCCTCATCACAAGTGTACTCTTAATCCTTACCTATTTCACCCATCCCCGCCATGCACCTCCATTCTGATAGCCATCAGTTTGTTCTCTATAGGTAAGAGTTTGTTTTTTGCTTTGTCTCTTTTTTCTTTGTTTTGTGTCTCCACATAGGAGTTAAATCAAATGGTATTTGTCTTTCTCTGACTGACTTATTTCATTTAGCACAGTACTATCTAGAGTCTTCCATGTTGTTGCAAATAGAAAGATTTCATTCTTTTTTATGGATGAGTAATATTCCATTGTATATATATATACCACATCTTTATCTATTCATCTATTGATGGACACTAGGGCTGTTCTGATAGTTTCACTATTGTAAATAATGCTACAATAAACATAGGGGTGCATATATCTTTTCAGATTAGTGTCGTCATTTTTATTGGGTAAACACTCAGCAATAGGAATTACTGGATTACATGGTAGTTCTATTTTTAATTTTTTGAGGGACCTTCATACTGTTTTCCACAGTAGCTACACCACTTTTCATTCCCACCAACAGTGCATGAGGGTTCCTTTTTCTCCACATCCTCACCAGCACTTGTTATTTCCTGTTTTTGATTTTAGCAATTCTGACAGGTATGAGGTGGTCTCTCATCATGTTTCTAATTTGCATTTCCCTGATGATTAGTGATGTTGAACATCTTTTCATGTGTACATTGGCCATGTGATAGTTAATTTTGTGTGTCAACTTGGTTAGATTTCCCAGTTTGTACAAACCCTAGTCCAGATGTTGCTATGAAGGTATTTTGTAGAATGACTAACATTTACTACAACTGTCTTTAAGGAAAGTTGATTACCTTCCATAGTGTGTATGGGCCTCATCCAGTCAGCTGAGGCTTTAAGAGCAAAGACTGAGGTTTCCTAGAAAAGGAATTCTGCCTCAAGACTGTAACAGAGAAATCCTCCCTGAGTTACTATCCTGCCTATGTATTTTGGATTTGCCAGCCCCTATAATCCCATGAGCCAGTTCTTTAAAATATCTCCCTGACTCTTGCTCTTTCTGTGTCTCTCTGTCTCCTTCTCTGCCCCTGCCATACACACACACATACACACACACCTGTCTGATATAATCACTAATAAAAAAAATGTGTTAAATGCAAAACATTTAAGCTTTACCTAGAATTTCAAAGCAGAAACTTCTCTGGTTCTGGAATTTTTCAATTTTCCTAACTCATGCTAGAAGTAATTCACAGAATGTACAAATGTTTACACATTCTAGGCATAATACATTTCTGCTCTATACATTTGAAACCCTGCAAACTGTATAAATGTATAAAAATACATTTGAAACTCTATACTTACATTAAATTTACATAAATATAACTATTTAATGTTGGAACACAATTCTAAGTTTGTACATTTGTGAATGCAACCAAACATGCCATATCCCAGTTCCCAATTTGGTATTTAGTAACTGTACTTATCACTATTAAGAAAACCAATAAAGCTATATTCTTTAAAGTTTAAGGCAAGAAATTAAATCTCCCAGATTCATTGTAGAATATTTAGCCTTTTAGATTTTTATTTTTTAAAGACTTTATTTATTTGTCAGAGAGAGAGAGCAAGGGAGCACAAGCTGAGGGAGCAGCAGGCAGTGGGAGGAGCAAGGAGCCCAATATGGGACTTGATCCCAGCACCTTGGGATCATGACCTGAGCCGAAGGCAGGTGCTTAACCAGCTGAGCCACACAGGCATCCCTGTCCTTTTAGATATTTAAAGTTTGTTTAATACAAAATACCCAAATTTGGGATGTTAAGAGCCTAGAAATTTATAAATCATTCTTCTACCCAAGAAGAGGGGAGATAATTGCTTTATCTCCATTTGTGTAGTTCTGGAACCACACTACATCTAGATCGGGGGACTGTGGGAGGCTCAGCCTTGCTCTTAAACCCGTGACTGCCAAGTGAGAGGAAGAGAGACCAGAAGTTGGATATGAGGAAGAAAGGAAGGAATGCTGGACAGATAGAATAAGTGACTGCAGGGCTTTAAAGTTATCATTTGAAGACTGAAAGGAATTACCTCAACTGCTTTTGCATGAATTCTATAGCACTATTCCTATCAGTTCTTCCCCCATTCTTAGCTCTGTGACACTAAGAATGCTTTGTAAGTACTCAAGCATCATAGTCCCATGAGAAAGACAATGTCATTATACCCAGATGTTCACAGCAGCATTATCAACAATAGCCAAGCCACGGAGAGAGCCCAGACGTCCATCAACCGATGAATGGATAAAGAAGATGTGGGGTGTGTATGTGTGTGTGTGTGTGTGTGTGTGTGTGTTTATATATATTTGTGTATGTATGTGTGTATTTATATATATATGAATATTATTCTTACATACATTCATATATATACATAACAAAGGAATATTATTCAGCCTTCAAAAAGAATGAAATCTTGCCATTTGCAATGACACAGATAGAGCTAGAGTGTATTATACCAAGTGAAGTAAGTCAGTCAGAGAAAGACAAATACCATATGATCTCACTCATATGTGGCATTTAAGAAAGGAAACAGATGAACATATGGAAAGGGGGAAAAGAAAAAAAAGGAGAGAGGAAAACAAGCCATAGGGACTCTCAATGATAGAGAACTGAGTGTTGATGGAAGGAGATGGGTGATGGGTATTAAGGAGGGGTTTGTCCTGATGAGCACTGGGTGTTGTATGTAAGTGATGGATTCTATTCCAGAAACCAATATTGCACTGTATGGTAACTAAGTAAAAATTAAAACAAAAACAAAAACAAAAACAAAACCTGTTTGTTTTTACCAACAGTCCTATTACCCAGCATGAAGGGGATTAAATATAAGAAATAATTGTTGGCAATAATTGGAAAATACAAATGCTCCATGTTTATTCCCAAATGAGACATCTTTATCACACCGATCATGGCCATTTGTAACAAAAGGCAGAAATTACTGTGCTGTCACATATGTGTGAACATGATGTTGATTGCATCACTTTCTAGTGTCTGTGAAGTTCTGCCAGATGAGTCCCTCTTACCTGTTATCCTGAGCCAAAGCATTCAGTTTCAGTAGAGAAGAGCCCTACAAATAATGCACTTTCTATTGTGTTGATCACTTCTACTCCTCCTGGTTATTACAAATTGGGTGGGGAAAAGAGATGAACTCTGAAATGTAGGTTTCTTCTATTACACATTTTTCTCGTCTGTGTCCTTTATAAATGCATCTTTATTGTGCTGCTAAGGTGGAGGGAAGGTTTTCAGCATTTTTAATCTTTTTTAGCAAGTGGGTGTTTTCTATTTACATGAATATTTAGTTAGACTTGCAGAGGAAACATTTTTGTTAAACTTTCCCAGAAGTTTGTTACATAGTTCTAAATCCTATTAATTTTTACTTGAACTCTCTATCGTTGATCAACCACATCTCTGCTCATTTATTATTTCACCCATGAACCTATTAAATTTAAAGTGGTTTAATGGGAATACAGTATGCATTCCTCTAAAAATAAGACATTTAATAATTATCATTAATGAACATTATTAGCGCCTCAGGTACCAGTGACCCTGACTCATTCTAAGAATAAATTGTACTCAAGAAAGGATAAATGAACTAACTGAAAAAAAAAAAAAGAAACAAACTTGTCGCATTAAGCAATATATTTCAAATGACATTTTCCTTTTTGTATTTAATAATTATTAAATTTCATTAAGTGTTAATTTTGATCAATAACACTAATCACAATACTAGTACTACAACTACTACTACTAAGTGATAATGGATCCTAGGAAAAAATAATCCCTAAAGCCAACTGGTTACAGGAAATTTTTTATTAAAATTTCAACTTATATACATAATTTTCTTTGTGATGTATGATAAGGAAATCAATAAAATAATTCCAGGCATAAACATATATTAGATTAAAACATAATTTAGGAGAAATTAGTAGAATGGAATTATGAGTTCAAGGACAAAAAGAAATGATAAATTTTCTAACAATGATGACCTTGTTCAAACATTTTTTTTAAAGTGATAACAATAGTAAAAAGATAGGCACCCTCTACAAGATGACCCCCAGAGATCCCTTCCTCCCGGTATTCATTCTCTGTGTCATCCCAGGATAGGCTTGACCTAATCATTTGCTTCCAACAAAGAAAATACAGAAGACAGGCTGGGGTGTAGCTTTCAAGAGCACATTACCCTGGGGGCACCTGGGGGGCTCAGTGGGTTAAAGCCTCTGCCTTCGGCCCAGGTCATGATCCCAGGGTCCTGGGATCAAGCCCCACATCAGGCTCTCTGCTCAGCAGGGATCCTGCTTCCCTTCCTCTCTCTCTGCCTGCCTCTCTGCCTACTCGTGATCTCTGTCTGTCAAATAAATAAAGAGAATCTTTAAAAAAAAAAAAAAAGCACATTACACTGTACCCCTGAAACAAAGAATACATTATATGGTAAATAAATAAATAAATAAAATATGCAAAAATGGGAAAAAAATAAGAGACTACATTACAAAAAGACTGTGATTTCCATCTTGCTCATCCTCTTTTGTTCCCCCCTACCCATCCCCCATCTCTCTCTCTCTCTCTCTCATACACACACACACACACAAACATACACATGCACACACGGTTCATATTGTGAACTGCCTTATGAGAACCCAGATGACAAGGAATTGAGGAAGGACTATTGCCATTGGCCAGCAGGGAACCAGACCCTCCCTCCGACAGTCCACAAGGAAGTAAATCTTGCCAACAATTATGTGAGCGAACTTAGAAGCAAATTCTACTTAGTCAAGTCTTCAGATGAGACTGAAGCGCTGGCCCTTGACTGCAGTCTTGTAAGAGATCTTGAGTGACCTAACCTAGAGAAACTGAGAAAAATAAATGGTTGTTTTCAACTGCTCAGCATAGGGACAATTTATTACACCATATTAGATAACTAATAAAATAATTGTGTCAAATGGCTGTTGTTTCTAGAATCCATTGGATGCATTTAAGAGTGACAAAATATTTTGAATTTAAAAATGACATCATTTTTCAATAATCGTGACCATACATCATTTGCAGCTATTCAAACTTATGAGAAAACATTTATAGGGCAACTGTGTGTGGGGGGTTCGTAATTTTTCCAAATATTTTTGGAGAGTACATGAACAAAAAAATTAGCAATGTCCTGACAGCACTGGGAAGCCTTCCTTCCTCAGTGATAGTGAAAGAGGTTAAGGGAGAGGATTAAGAGTGAAATAGGAATGAGAGGAGGAAATTCTCTGCTTTGAAGAAGTAAGTTTAGTACTTGACCAGAGCGAGGAAGCACAACCAAAATAAGAATCTGCAGCGACTGAGAGCTTACAGTTACACATATTATCTCATTTAATCATCACTACAAATCCTTGAGGGAGATTTTATCTGGAGTTTTGAGGAGACCCTAGCCCATGTCGTCATCATACCCTATGTCATTTGGCTGAGTTGGGCTTACAGACAAGGCACCCACTTATTTATCCAGCCATTTATCCATTAGAGCCAATATCCATTTAAAGGATACATCTAGCCATTTGTCCAGTGTATCCAATACATAATCAAGGAGCTGAGAGCACATTTCAGCATCACATAAATATTAATCCTGCCCAAAAGCTAAAAGTATACAAATAGATGTTAGACTCTCCTCATCACAAAAGTAAAAAGCATGAGGCTTAGGTAAAATCCTAAGACTGATTCCAAAAGCCAGTGCAGTTGACACCTCTGTCTTTCCAGAAAACAAGGAAAATTATTAAACGCATTTTATGCTGTGTTCGGATTATATCAATCACTCACAGAGTCTTGTTTCTCCTTCTACATAGAGGCATAGTAACATAGGAAGCCCATAGTAAATATATATCTTAGACCAAACACAAACACTCTAAGATTCAAAAACATTTTTATTGTGCCAATATATATATGTATTGCATATATGTGTGTATATATATGTATATATGATATATACCATAAATTTTACAATTTTAACCATTTTAATTATGCAGTTCAGTGGCATTAAGTACATTCACACTGTTGTACAACCTTCACCACACCACTATCCATCTCTAGTACTATCTTCCCAAACTGAAACTCCACAGTCAGTAAACACTAATTCCCCATTGTCTCCTCTCCACAGCCTGCTTGATGACCACCATTTCTACTTTCTGTTTCTATACATTTGACTACTCTAGCTAACTCATATTAGTTGAATCATATTTTATTTGTCCTTTTTTGGCTGGCTTACTTCACTTTAAAAGTTTAAAAGTTTACTCTTTGGGACGCCTGGGTGGCTCAGTGGGCTAAGCCACTGCCTTTGGCTCGGGTCCTGATCCCAGGGTCCTGGGATCAAGTTCTGCATTGGGCTCCTTGCTTGTCAGGGAGCCTGCTTCTCTTTCCGCCTCTGCCTGCCTCTCTGCCTGCTTGTGTGCTTGCTCTCTCGTTCCTTCTCTCTGACAACTAAACAAATAAAGTCTTTAAAAAAACAAAAACAAACAAAAAGTTGACTCTTCATGTTGTAGCATGTGTCAGAATTTCCTTCCTATTTAAGGCTGACTAGCATTCCATTATATGTATATACCACATTTTGTTGATCCATTTATCTATCAATAAACACAGGATCCGTTTCCACATTTTGGCTACTGTGAATAAAGCTACTATGAATATGGGTGTACAAATACCTGTTTGAGTCCCTGTTTTCAATTATTTTGGGTATATATCCAGAGTTGGAATTTCTGGATCATATGATAATTGTGTGTTTAATTTTTTAAGGAACTGATATCCTGTTTCCATGTCAGCTGCCCCATTTGACATTCCTACAAGATTCTAAAACTTTTAACAGCAAAGTCTAACTAAAATAAGTGAAGAAAGATATAAAATGAGTGAGGTAAACAACTGGCCCATAATTATTTACTCCCAGAGCTTGAAGGACCCTTAGAGTACATCAGTCTAAATATCCATCATAGGGGCACCTGGGTGGCTCACAGTGGGTTAAAGCCTTTGCCTTCAGCTCAGGTCATGACCCCAGGGTCCTGGGATCGGGCCACGCATCGCATCGCATCGGGCTCTCTGCTCAGCAGGGAGCCTGCTTTCCCCCTCTCTCTCTGCCTGCCTCTCTGCCTACTTGTGATCACTGTCTGTCAAATAAATAAATAAAATCTTTTAAATAAATAAGTAAATAAATAAATATCCATCATATATTTGAGGATAATGATTGAACTATTTGAGTGATTATTATACTACCCTCTAGCAAACATTGATTAGAATCTTATTATATGCCCAGCACAATGCTGTACAAGACAAAAACAAAAGCAAAAAACCCAAAAATCTCACCCTTCTCTGAAATTCTTTCGCATAACTATCATATGCAGCCTTAGACATAGCAACCTATTCACCTGGACGGAAAGACCACATATTTCAATTATTTTATTTCTTGTCTATCTCCATGGGAAAGATAAACTAGTTTCAAAATGATGTGAGTTGTTAAGTATTTCCAATTTGAGTCTTTATGGGGTCCCCACAGCAGTTATGAAAACAAAAATTATATTTTTAAATATATAATTACAGATCCTTGGCCATGCCCACCTACATTATTTTCGTTAAATGTTCTTTCACAGCATTGGCCAAGTGTAGATGTTATGCAACTCTGAGATTTGATTGATATTGAGATGAAAACCATTTCTCAGTTGAGAAAAAACAAGTACCCACAAAAGATGACGAGGACAGGTGGTAGACAGGCATTTTATAACAAGAATGGGAGTCCTTTCTAAGTGATACTAATGCTGTAAGTACCCTAAGTTCTAGAAATGGTCTCGCTGCAGGGTTTTGAATGCCCTGGTATCTTCCCTCTTTTTTCAGACTTCTATTCAAAGTCACAATAAGGAAATATTATACAGCCCTACAAAAGGAAGGAAAGCCTATGATTTGTGACACTATGCTAAGTGAAATAAACCAGACACAAAAAACAAATGCCACACCATCTTGCTTATATGTAGAAACTAAAATAGTCGAACTCAGAATCAGAGTAGAATGGTGGTTGCCAAGGCTGAGGTGGGGAAAATGTGGGAATATTGGTTAAAGGATACAAGGTATCATTTATGCAAGATGATTAAGTTCGGGGATCTAATGTACAGCATAATGACTAGTAGTTAACCATACTGTACTGATGACTAGTAGTTAACCATACTTGAAATTGACTAAGAGGGTAGATTTTAAGTGTTTTCACCCCCCACATACACATTCCAAAGGTAACTATATAAGGTGATGGGTATGTTAAGTTTGATTGTATTTATCATTTTACAATATATAGATATAGCAAAGCATGTATAAATGTATGCAACTTCTGTTTATCAGTTATACCCCAATAAAGCTGAAGAAAAGACACATGCATGATAAGGTGTGAATGACAGCAACTCTATGCTTTAGTCTTCTTGGCAATGCAGAACCTTAAAGAGCAACCCATTTAAAACCTACAAACTTTTTCAAAGACTTTTCTTCTATGAGCTCAGAAAAGTCATGATTTCATAAGTGGTCAATCAGAATTTAATATCAACACCAGAGAGCCAGTTTGTAACTATATAATTGGTAACAACCTTGCGTCCCTATAATTTCAGCCTAAAAACAAAGAAAACTAGAATTTTAGGCTGGCCTCTGATGCAGAATTACAAATATACAATGCTTGCTTGGCTTTGGAAATATTTGGAATAATTTATCTAACCTTGTTATAGTCCTCAAGCCCTCCTAGCTAGAAATGATTGATGTAATGGAAACTTCCATTTTATGTAGGAGGAAATAAAACTCTAGGGAAAGTATAGAACTAAGAAGTAAAGGGCAAATTGAGATTAAAATTCAGTATTTTTTATCATATTGCCTACTTGCACTTAAGGGAAGAATCCTCAAGTAATCATGTAAAAAATTCACAGGGAATAAATTTCTAGTCCTGGAATTTCAGGCAGTCCTTAAATCAACTTCCATTGACACTTCTAGCAAACTTGGACTCTACCTGAGAAGTGCAGGTGTGAGGAGGGGTATAGCAAAAGGGAAAGGGAGAAATAGGAGAAGATAAGTAATATTTCATGTTTCCTATTCCACTTCTCTAATTCAACTCAAGTTGTCAACATTTATGGAAGATTTATTATGTATTGAGCATACTTTAAGGTGCCAGAGACAAAGCAAATTAGACCTGGATTTTACTTTCAGATGCCCCAAATCCAGTATTGGAATGTGGTTTATTTATTAATATATTTAATCATTTATATTCTAGAAAACCTTGGTGATGGAATGAAATATTTTAAAACTTCATAGTCTTATATTGCAAGGTAAGGAGTGGCTAATATCTCAGAGCCCCTCAGGATATTTTTTCCATGATCAGCATCACCATAAACAGTTTACCCCAGCTGGAACCAGAGAGACCACATTATTTTTAGCTTAGGTTGGAAAAATCTTCCTGTGCCACTCTTTGCCAAGGTTCCAGCTGTTTTTTGTTTGCTAATCTCTGTTTAGCATTGCAAAAACTCCAGAATTTTCTCAGCTTACCCTTTGCAGTATTACAAAAAATACAGTGAGGCTTTAGGTTGTATTACGTGGGATTCACTCAATAATATTTCTTGAATACCTATTTCAGGTCCCTGGGATATACCAGTGAACATAACAGGCAAAGATTCCTGCCTTCATAAAACATATACTCCAGTTAGTAGATATACACAAATCCAAAATTATTGAGCTCAATATAGATACACATTTTTCTCTTCTGTAAAATAAGTCCAGATTTAGGTGTCCAGGACTCCCCTGATGGGTCCACTGTCACCCAGGATCTAAACTCCTTCACTATTTCTCCTTTCTTATCCCTA